AAAGCTCTTTCTCTTTTAAGAACATTGCCAAACACTCTTTTTGATCAATTTGGCTGAGAAAAGTGAAATTAAAGAAACTTCAAATTTTTGATCAAAATCATGGACTAACCCCTTTGCAAAAAACGCTAATTTTTCAACTTCCAAATATCAATTTATTTGTAGTCTAGAAAAGGTTCTTTTTATGTCAAGATCATCTCTAAACATTCTTTTTGAACAATTTGAACTAGAAAAAACAAGGTGACCAAAATTATTGACTAACCTCTTGGCAAAAAATGGCAATTTTGCAACTTTCTAATATCAACGTTTTTGTCGTCTAGAAAAGCTCTTTTTCTATTAAGAACATTGCCAAACACTCTTTTTGAGCAATTTCTCCGAGAAAAGTGAAATGAAAGAAACTTAAAATTTTTCATTAGAAACATGGACTAACCCCTTTGCAAAAAGTGCAAATTTTTAAACTTCCAATTTTAAACTCATTTGTAGACTACAAAAGGTTTGTTGTGTCAAGAACGTTTCTGAACACTCTCTTTCAACTAATTCAACCAGAAAAAACAAGGTGAGGAAACTTCAATTTTTGGACCTGAAGTATGAACTAACCCCTTTGTAAAAAATGAAAATATTGCGACTTTCTAATATCAATGATTTTTTGTCTAGAAAAGCTCGTTTTCTATCAAGAATATTAGAAAAGACTCTTTTTGATCAATTTGGCTGAGAAAAGTGAAGTTAAAGAAAATTCAAATTTTTGACCAAAATCACGGACTAACCCCTTTGTAAAAAATGCAAATTTTGCAGCTTTTTAATATCAATGTTTTTTTTTTAAATCTAAAAAGCTCTTTCTCTGTCTGGGAAATTGCCAAACACTCTTTTTGATCAATATGGCCGAGAAAAGTGAAGGTAAAGAAACTTCAAATGTTTGACCAAAATTATGGACTAACCCCTTTGCAAAACATGCAAATTTTTAAACTTCCAAATATCAACTTATTTGTAGTCTAGAAAATGTTTTTTTGTGTCAAGAACGTCTGTAAACACGCTTTTTGAAGAATTTGAACCGGAAAAAACAAGGTTAGGAAACTTCAATTTTTTGACCTGAAGTATGAACTAACCCCTTTGTAAAATGAAAATATTGCAACTTTGTAATATCAATGATTTTTTAGTCTAGAAAGGCTCATTTTCTATCAAGATTATTGGAAAAGACTCTTTTTGATCAATTTGGTCGAGAAAAGTGAAGTTAAAGAAACTTGAAATTTTTGATCAAAATCACGGACTAACCCCTTTGTAAAAATAACAAATTTTGCAACTTTCTAATATCAATGTTTCTTTTTTAGTCCAGAAAAGCTCATTTTGTATCAAGAACATTGCCAAGCACTCTTTTTCATCAATTTGCCCGAGAAAATTTGAGATAAAGAAACTTCAAATTTTTGACCAAAATCATGGACTAACTTTTTGCAAAAAATGTTAATTTTTTCAACTTACAATTATTGACTTATTGGTAGGGTAAAAAAGCTTTTTAGTATAAAGAATGTCGCTTAACATTCTTTTTGACCAATTTGGACTAGAAAAAACAGGGTGTTTAAATTGCAAATTTTTAACCAAATGTATGAACTAAACCCTTTGTGAAAAATGCAAATTTTGCAACTTTCTAATATCAATGTTTTTTTAGTCTAGAAAAGCTCATTTTCTATCAAGAACATTGCCAAACACTTTTTTAAATAAATTTTGCCAAGAAAAGTGAAGGTAAAGAAACTTCAAATTTTTGATCAAAATTATGGACTAACCCCTTTGCAAAAAAATGCCAATTTTTTAACTTCCACATATCAACTTATTTGTAGTGTAGAAAAGGTGTTTTGTGCGAAGAACGTCTCCAAACATTCTTTTTCAACAATTTGAACCACAAAAGACAGGGTGAGGAAACTTCAAATTTTTGACCAAAAATACGAATTTTGCAACTTTCTAATATCAATTTTTTTTTTGGTCAAGAGAAGCTTATTTTCTTTCAAGAACATTGGCAAACAGTCTTTTTGACCAATTTGGATAATAAAAGTAAAAGTGAAAAAATTCTAAATTTTTGACCAAAATCATGGACTAACCCTTTTGCAACTTTCAATTATCAACTTATTTGTAGGGTAAAAACTGGTTTTAGTATCAAGAATGTTGCTAAACATTCTTCTTGATCAATTTGGATTAGAAAAAACAAGGTGAGGAAACTTCAAATCTTTGACCTAAATTATGAACTAACCCCTTTGTAAAAAATGCAAATTTTGCAACTTTCTGATATAAAATTTTTTTTAGTCTAGAAATGCTCATTTTGAAGTTTCCTAACCTTGTTTTTTCTAGTCCAAATTGATCAAAAAGAATGTTTAGCGACATTCTCTATACTAAAAATCTGTTTTTACCCTACAAAAAAATGATAATTAGAAGTTAAAAAATTTGCATTTATGAAGGTGAGGAAACTTCAAATTTTTGACCAAAATTATTGACTAACCCCTTTGCAAAAAATGGCAATTTTTGCAACTCTCTAAGATCAACGTTTTTATAGCCTAGAAAAGCTCTTTTTCTATCAAGGATATTGCCAAACACTTTTTTTGATCAATTTAGCCGAGAAAAGTAATCGAAGGTAAAGCAATGTCAAATTTTCAACCAAAATAATGGACTAACCTCTTTGCAAAAAAATTCAAATTTTTCAACTTTTAAATATCATCGTTAACGTAGTCTACAAAAGGTTTTTTTGTGTCAAGGCTGTCGTTAAACTCTCCTTTTGAGCAATTTGAACCAGAAAAAAGAAAGGTAAGGAAACTTGGAATGTTTGACCAAAATTATGGACTAACCCCTTTTTAAAAAATGCAAATTTTGCAATTTTCTTATATCAATGTTCTTTTCGTCTAGAAAAGCTCTTTGTCTATCAAGAACATTGCCAAACACTTTTGTTTTGAATTTGGCCAAAAAAAGTGAAGGCAAAGAAATGTCAAATTTTCGACCAAAATCATGCATTCACTGACCCGTTTTTTCAAAATGGAAATTTTTTAGCTTTCAAATATCAACGTTTTATAGTATTTTTTGGTCAATTTAAAAGAAAAAAGTCAAGGTAAAGTTTTTTCTGTAGGATTTTTGGTTTTTCAATTTAAAATCCTTTTAAAGTCAAGGTTTTTGAAACGTTGAAAACACTTTTTGATCAATTTGACCCAGAAAGGTAAGGTAAGCAAAGTTGAAATTTTTGACCAAAGTTGTGGACTAACCCCTTTACCAAAAACGCAGATTTTTTAACTTTCAAAGAACGTTTTTGTAGTCTAGTAAAGGTTTTTGTATAAAGAAGGTCAGTTAACAGTCTTTTTGATCAATTTAAAAGTGAAGAAATGCAAATTTTTCAACATTGGCAAACTTTCTTACTTATCAATTTGGCCAAATAAAGTGAAGGTAAAGAAATCTCAAATTTTCGACCAAAATTATGCTTTCACTAACCCGTTTTTTAAAAATGGAAATTTTTTAGCTTTCAAATATCAACTTTTTGTAGTCTTTTTTGGTCAATTTAAAAGAAAAAAGTCAAGGTCTCAGGTCTACAGGTTTCAAATAGCAACGTTTGTAGTCTAGGAAAGGTTTTTTGTATCAAGAATGTCGGTAAACATTCTGTTTGCTCAATTTGCACCAGAAAAAACTAGGTGAGGGAACTTGAAATGTTTGACCGAAATTATTGACTAACCTCTTTGCAAAAAATGGAAATTTTGCAACTTGGTAATATCAATGTTTTTGTATTCTAGGAAAGCTATTTTTCCATGAAAAAGGTCGCCAAACACTCCTTTTGATGTATTTGGCCGAGAAAAGTGATAGGAGTTAAATGTCATATTTTTTTTTATCAACAAACGCCCTAAACACTTTTTGCCGTCAATTAAGGCCAAGAACAGTTGAGTTAATGAATCTTCAGATTTTTGGCTAAGATCATGGACTAACACCTGAATGTCGCCAAGCACTCAATTTGATCAATTTGAGCGAGAAAAAACAAGGTGACCAAATTTATGGGCTAACCCCTTGAGAAAATAAAAATTTTTCAGCTTTGAAATATCAAGTTTTTAAAATCTAGAGTAGGATTTTTTTGTGTCATGAAGGTCACTAAAGACTCTTTTTGATCAAGTTAAAAGAGAAAATTCAAGGTGAAGAAACTTCAAATTTTTGACGAAACTCATGTACTATAATCTTTGTTGGGAAAAAAATGCAAATTTTTCAGCTTTCTAATATCTGCTTTTTTTGTAGTCTTGGAAATGTTTTTTCTTTCAAGAATGTCGCTAAAAATCAATTTGATTATGAATAAGAAAAGTCAAGGCGAGGAAGCTTGAAATTTGTGACGAAAATCATAGAACAACCGTGTTGTAAAAAAGCAAATTGTTGAACTTTCCTAATATCAATGTTTTTGTAGGATGGCTTCAAAGTTGCAAATAGAGAAAGATAGAAGAATAGCCTATCTAGACTACAAAAACGTTCGTATTAAAAAGTTTCAAAATTTGAATTTTGCAAAGGTGTTAGTCCATGATCTCGGTCTAAAATGTGAAATTTCTTCACCTTTACTTTTCTTGGCCAAATTGGTGAAAAAGAGTGTTTGGCGACATTCTTGATAGAAAAATAGCTTTTCCGCCTTAGAGCAAAATGGGTTCAAAAATAAGGTCTTTTGATGTTCTAGATAGAAAATAAGCGTTTCTTTGGCTATAATAAATAGTAGGTTTTAATGATTTTTGAGATAGAAAATAGGTGTTTTTAGTCTAAGGCTCACATCTCGATCATCTACGCTCATAATTTTTGTCAGCTGGAAATAAAAGGTACAGCAAAATCAACATTTCACAAACAAACCTTCTGTAAGTGTAGGATTAAAGACTTATTCAACACGAGAACAATTTCGCATTGGAGACTTATGCAACGAGGTCTTTATTATTCCATTAATGTTTCAGCTCAGCTCCTTCATTGTGCATAACTAACACCTCTCTTGCCCTTTATTCTTAATTGCTCTCTAATTAAGTTCTCTAGTACATAAAGGCAACGTGAGCCTGACTGTCACAAGTTTGGGGAACGAAGATAATTTTACTTATGAGGGTAATAAGCTCACGGTCTTCCTCAAGCTGACCGTTTTCTTCCGTCTCAGTCATTCGAATAAGCTTAGCAATTCGCTGATCTACTTTAATCAATCGCTCATATGTGCACTGAAGAATTCGTTCAGTGTTCTTGCAAAATGGCTCTGCTTCGGAGCTGAGCATGTTCACGAAAATTGCTTCGTCACAGAACAACTTTGTAAGATCACGTCCGTCTCTCCTTTGCCCCATAAGTTCTAACAAACGCTCTTCAAGATGGTGTGAGAGTTCCAGATCTTCAGCGCTATCTTCGACATTTGTCTTTGCACCAGAGTACGCGTCATTGAGCATAGAGATGAACATGTTCATGAGGAAAATGGTCAAAGTTAGCACGTAAAACAGGGCAAATATGGGACCGATAATTCTATTTTCAGCTCGAAGACCTTCTACCGGCACTGCTTTACCTAACAGAAATTCAAATTGGCCTACTGTGGCTCTTAAATAACTAGAATACACGTACATGGACCCACCAAAAATCAGTATTCCTGACATGGCAAAGGAATTGAAGATTAACAGGAGAATGAACATAAAGGATAATTGGTGACCAACAGATTGGCGAAAAGATGAAAATAAAAATATGACGTGGGGGTTAACCCGAAGAAGATTGAGAAACTTTAACGTCGCCATAAATACGGCAATAGCAATAGATGCATTTTCCCACTCAGCCCAAGACACTGCCGTGTGAAAGTTGATGATTGCGTAGGGATTAGACTGTATTGCTTTAACACTTCTTAAAATACTTTTAGCTTTGAGCATGTAGAATGTTACTGTTGTCACAGAAGAAACAACTTGCAAAAATTCGACTAAATTCCATATGGATTTAAAAAAGCTGATTCGTTGGCGAAAAAGATTAACCAGGAGCAAGACGAAGTAATAAAGTGTCATAGACATGAAGAGAAACTGGCAAATGAGATAAAATTCTCGAGCGCCTGATTCTGTACTATATAGCTCCAGTGTTTCCACTTTCTTGGTTGTGTACGCAGCCCCAGTAGCTAAAACTTCATAGAAGAAAGAAGCGATGCTGACTAGGTTTGTGTTGATGTTGAAAACGGTGAATTCAATAACTACAAGTCTGGTTTGTTGATCAATCCATCCCTCAGCATGTAATTCATTGACTACCCCACCTGCTGTTTCCTCGTTATATCCCATGGCAGCTATGTATCCACCCCCACTATACAGCTTGAAAGTTCCCCATGTCGGTAGAGCATCCCCAAGATGTTCTTGACTCTGGTATCGCCATGGTCGTGGACACATCTTAAGTGAATCAGGCCATGTCGTATTTACAGGCAGTTCTTTCCATCCCGGAAGACTCATGAAGGTTTTGTCTTCGTTTTCGAAAGTGTAGTCATAATAGCAGTGCGGGTTGATGAAACTAAGAACTCCACAAGTGCCTTCAAAGAAAAAAGTCAAAAAATCAACTAAAGAAAAATATAGATAATTAATAATCCTTATAAGAAATCCCTAAAAAAAGTCGGGGGTGCGTGAAGGTCATTTTCAAGTGTTCAGGAAAAGCCGATTTAAGCGAGATGGAGGTTTCTAAATTTTTCGCCGTCTGATATAATTAGAATTTTCCTGACAAAGCAAAAGAAGAGGCTAGCACTTTATTTTCCCCATGTCAAGAGATCAATAGCAAGGTTCTCTTTACGTTCCTTTAATACGTTTTTTTAAAGCACCCGGTCTTTCATTCGGTGGCATTGCTTTTTGTCCCTTTTAGGCTAATTGTAGTTAATATGGTCTTCATCTTTCTATTTACAGTAAACTCGAACTCACTCCTCTTAATTCTAACTTGTCTCATTCGTGGCATTCCAAGCAAAATAGACTTTTTATTGTGTATGTAAACCTGCATAATCTCTTTTTGGTTATTGTACCAGAACCCTGCATAGAGGTTTGGTATGAAAAATTGATCCATCCATCTCCTCAGTACGTCCGGGTGTGTGACCTGTTGAAAAAGCAATAGATTGTGATAATTTTGTCACGTAATGTTGACCTATAAAAGAAAATTTTTATTCACTTTCGCTACTGTAATTTTGAACTAGGGAAAGCAATGTGGGATGCTCCATTCAAAGTCCTGTTTTAGATGCCACCACCAGATACTACACTAAAGTCATGGATAGTAATCAGTTCAATTTCCGCTTCCCTTTGGCTTGTACATGGAGAAAAAAGCGTGAACTCTTATCCACCCTCGTCGCTTTGACATTCTTAGCAATATTTTACTTTTAAGAACGATTTTAGGCCATGGCTTACATATATATGTTTTTTTTTTGCTTAATGTTAAGCATCAGGTGAAAACATGAGAAAGATGATTTTTCAGTCAGCGACAGAGGCGTTTCGGAAGGAAAAATCCAATTTTTCCTTATAGGTGTGGAACCTATGATCCTCTGATTAGGACTGGCCATGGTCAGTGTGTACCTGTTACCACTAGTTGCTAATGTTATTCTATAAATTGTGAATTATTAGCTTTCCCTCGGAAAGAAAAGGCAATTACCTTGTCAAACTTTAGAAACGGTTGCTTCACCGCTGTTGTCATCAGGAAGCGGTTGTTGTTTTTGTTCCCATAGCAAGTGATGGCCATGAGGAGTACGAATAAGGTGTGCAGAATTATTTGTCTAATCATTCTTAGTAGTTTCACGTCCTTTTTCTTGTTCTCGCGCATCTTTGAAAGTTTATAACGTCTCAACGTTTTCTTTGGATCATCATCGAACTCGTTATCGCTCATTTCTCCATAGGTTTCTGCATCTCTAACTGGAGCGTTACACACCTTTTTTCGTCGGATTGCCAACAACGATATTACACAAGCAACTAGTAACACTTTCATTGGCTGCGTAGCGAAAATGTCTTCAGCTAGAGAAGTCATTATGGATGCAAGCCATTGCTCGGCAAGCTCTTTTCCCCACATAAGGCTGTAAAAAAGCGTGAAAGCGGCACTTGTTAGTGTGGTGGCGATACAAAGGAACCATCCGATGTAGATGAAGCAGTGGGGCAGTGTAAACCTCGATTTCCTCGCCTCCTCAACAAGATGAAATGAATCCGTTCCAGTTTTGTGTTTATAATCTCTCCGCTGCCTTGGCCTGCTCAAGCGAAAGAGTAGTACAATCAGGATGTTCACTGGCGCAACAATCACTCCGCTTTGAACTCCTATGACGATCTGCTGCCACGAGAACTTAAATGGTCCAACCCGAATTGCCGCTAGTGATTCCCCGCCAATATTGTAGAACATGGCGTTTGCGATCATGGCAGAAAAAAGAATGGAAAGGCAACAAGACGCTCTTTGCACTCGTGTGAATGTACTGCTCGATGCTTTGCCAACAACTGACAACCAAATATGACTATCGGCTAAAATTCGAGGGGCCATCGATCGCACCTGATCTGAGAATCCAAAATAACTTGTGTTGAAACATGGCACTGTAACTTGTATTTGACCATCACCCTTTTCAACAGCAAGCCACCTGTTCACTAAGAAATTCCACACTTCCCCAGTTTGTTTATCCTTTATGATCAACGTTTCAAGAAACCACGATGGATCGTTGCCAGAGTTATCATGACATAACGTTATTGCCTTCAGAGGTCCGTAAGTGTTACTGGTTATTAGCACAAAACCGTCAACACCACCACGGGAAAATAGTTCAGGGTTTTCTCCCCTACGTCGCAAATGGATTTCCCTGCTTTCGTCCATCTTGCCTTCTATATAAAGTGATATGTTCGCAGTAGAACCTGAATCTTTCCAAACACCTGTACGTGTCACCATTTCGTAGACATAGCTTCCGCCTTCATTGACTACTACGGTCCTCGGAGGGGTAATCTAAGGGACGAAAACGTCGCAAAATAGAATATCAGAATGATTTACATGTTTTGGATAGCCAGATAAATCTTATGTCACACTTCTTTCTTACCAACAACATACCGAAGGTCTTTCATTGCTTGTTCAATGATTATTTTAAGGCTTATTTTAAGGTACGTTTTTTCGGGTTAATTAATTTATTTACCCGTCATCTTTTCACGTCGCCAATAAATAAATTTTAGAACCCTCATTAGTATTTTTTCCTTTGACAGGTTCCATTGGAACGTTAAGGGTATATTGATCAATTTGTTTCGGGTATATCGGCCTACCCCTACCCAGTCCAGGCCAATCTTGAGACGTCTTTTTTTAGCCGCTACTTTGAATATCTATTTTCCAGTCCAAGTCTTACTTTTTATGAGAAGCATTAGAAGAGAAGGCATGCAAGATAGACGCCATATTTGGAGCATATCTGTTGGTTACACTTTACAGCAGATGTCCTTATTTGGAAGTACGTAATTCTGCTTTGATTGAAGTTGTAATATTTTGTCATAAAAAAAAATAAAAAATAAAATAACGTTCAAAGGACCTACTAAGACCTCAGCTTCTTGGACCTTTTAGTACACAACACCTATCTCGGGCACTGAAAGGGTTATGCTCAAGATGCCAGTTTTTGAGTCGGTATTTTGCTATATCCAGGCTATTGACAAATCTCGTTCCTGATCCCCTACGCTCAAGACAAACAAAACCAGCTTGTGGTCTGAGCGGGACCCGAATCCGGGACCACGGGATTGCGAGTGCGACGCCACGCTGCCCCCCCGAGCTATATATATTTACTAATTGTTTCTGAAGTATCTTGGTAAAGTAAACGCTAGTTTGGAAATTTTAAATTACCTCTTGCACTTGATATTTCTAGAGCGTGTCATTTATTTCTTATGGATCGGAGCTATTTTCATACCTTATTTTCGTCACGTTTGTCCGCTCGTCTTGCAAAGACAGTTACCACAAAATAAAGGAGGAACACGACACATATCGTTATCAACACGGCTACGTTTCCAGTTTCTCCTAGTCTTGTAAATTCCACAAATACTTTGTCGAAATCTATGGGATTTGGAGTCTGTATAAAGTTTCCTCCAAACGCTGTTAAATGATTGCAAAGGCACTTCAGCTTCTTTTTGTCAGAGCCAAGGCCAACCTAAGGCAAAAGAGACCAAATAAGGACCCAATAGAATGATAACTTTAACCCACGTGTCGTTTAATTTGTGATGGTAGACTAACCTCCGAGGAATAGGATTCATATAAATTTCAGAGTGAATAACCATCCATCAAAACTGTGAGGGTTTCCATTTGGGCTTACAGAGTGTTTTAACCCACGTGACCAGCATCTATACACTAAAAAAAGCGTTTACATAAAAGAAAGAGTTGAACTCCCACAGGAATGGTTTGCAACACCGACATGGCCGCCGTTTCATTGTTTTGAACCACCAAAATAGCGGCCGTGACGTCATGTTAAAACGCTCTATTGCCTAATAAGGATTTGATGCTCCTTATCCTTAATAAACCATGCTTTATCGATATCTTGACGATAGCTTACCTTACATCCATCGGACGTCCACTTTTCCATCGTAGTAGACCAGTACAAACAATTTGTTTGGCTCATTGTCAAAGTGTAATTTACATCTGTCAATGGATCATACTTTGGAATGACAGACTTGTTAAAGCCTTCTAGGGGCGGATCCTTAACACCAATACACGATCGTTTTTGTCTACCTCCTCCAAAACAGGACCGTCTTTTTCTGGAGTGCTCAGTGACATTTTTCTCGCCAAATGTTAAGATTCCCACGTAAATTAAACTTTGCTCTGGAGGGGTAACCGTAATCGTTGTTTGTAATTGAGAACCACAGCCTGTTTGGTTTTCATTTATCGTGGTTGCATTACTTTGACATGAGGATAAAGGGATAGTGAAGTTTTCATCAAAGTCATCCAGCGATGGCCTTGATCCATATTTTATTAGCACCTCTACTACAGCATCTTGATCTTGTCCTGCGAGGAACAGCGACAAAGGGACGTTAGCTAGCTCAGCGAAGTAGCTGTGGATGGTCAACTTGTTCGGGGTGAGGAAAGAACCGGTTGGCTCAGCGGATTCTCCGTTACTAGGATTAAGAGGGATATCAATCTCGATGTCTTCATCGAGATCCGATACATTTAACGTCCCATTTCCGCTACTTGAAAGTTCCAGGCTACAAACGCTAGATGTGATAGCTGCACCACTTGAGTCCCCAGGAAATGGGTTGAAATTAAAAGTCATCATCTAAAAGAAAATATTGGAAATAATTTAATTTAACCGTCTTTTAACGTGATTGGTTGAATTTGAACCATAACATTTACGTTGAAAATATGTGGTTCTTTCGCTGACGTCGATACGTTCGAAAGGTAAATAAATTGTACCTGTAAAACTTCACTTATACTATATGCTTTAGCAATATGGTACGCCCATTTAAAGTCACGGTTTACTACCATGGTTTTTAGGGATTTGTGGAATCAATTACAGATGTCATTCTTACAATTGTTTCTACCACATTTTAGCGCCGCGGAAAAGAACAGACACGGTACAAAATGGTATTTACTTGTAAGCCAATGTTATCATAATTATAAAAAATTATAGTTTAATTTTCTTTACCTTGGCATTTACTTCGCCGTCAGCACTAACGTTTAGATTACTCGGAAATGCAAACTTTGTAAGTCCTTCTTCTAAACTAAGCCCATTGAGGCGATCTGAATCAACCTTTCTCAGTGAAATCGATAAGTCGTTCTTCTTTATGTCCAGTCTTTCAGATATTACTAACCGAGATGAGATGGAGTCGACGATGTCATTAATTTGTTGTAGAGCGTCCTCTGCGTCAGCCTAGGAGTCAGTGTAAGGTACAGAATTGGGTATTGTGTTCCCAATGATAAAATAATATTGGACGGGATATAGCTTTTCTCTGCTAGTAAAATCTTTGAAGGGACAACAACGACAAGAACAACGAACGTCTTCCTAGTGATATCTGCAGTGTAGGATTTTGGAAGGCCCAATGACTGTAAATCTGGCAACAACCCCCCCAAAATAATTTCTTAGTAAGCATCAAAAATTATAAAAAGGCTTCAACACATCACAATAAACGTTTACCGGGGTTTTTAAAGTTTTCTTGAAGCTGTGATGCACGGGAAAGCTCTATTGCCATGGCAAAAAACAATGAACTTATGCCAAGAGAGAACAATGGGACACAGAGAGGGAATGCCCAGCTTAGCCCTTGGTATATGGGAATTTCACCAGAGTTATTTTTAGACCATTTAAACGCTAAGTTAATCGGAAGTTGGTTTCCAGGAAGGTCGGCAAACTTTAATTTAGTGTCGTCAAGAGAGAATTCAACAGTCGCCACCGCAGTATTCTGCATTGTGTGCTTCGAGGCATTAGCGCGTGGACTTCATGACGTTTCAAACTATTTATTACAATGTACGGACGTCCCAGTAATTAGACTTCCGTTCCCTCTTTGTCCCAGTATGATCTGTTGCTTATGCCCATGTGTTTTCTGTATCATCAAACTAGTAAGTACTTGGATTTGGATTACTAGGAAGTATTAGCGAGTGAATGTCCTGAAAGGAGGTCGTTCCCATACTCGTCGCGAGTATGGGACAAATCAAAGCTGGGTGGTGAGACAGGCCAAGTACAACCTTATTCTGTAATGCATCCTTCATACTTCCTCTCACAGTCATACCCAATTTGCAATTGACCACTCCAGAAAATACCATAACATACCGTAATGCTCTTCCTTTGTCACCCCAAAATTTTGTATAACCATTGTTTTCAGTTTCTCTTGGGGCCATTTTAACTCCCAAGAGAAACTGAAGACAATGCTTATGCAAAATTTTGGGGTGACAAACAAAGAGCATTATGGTATGTTATGGTATTTTCTGGAGTGCTCAATTAGTACGGCCCCTGAAGGTGAGCAAAAAGGCTACCACTTAATGAGATCATTCCCTACAGTGTTCCAACTGGAGGACAAAAACAGGTAAGCTAGCGGTTGTCACTGTCAGAGAGTCTGTTTGGATCAGTGATTACCTTGCGTGTCACTTTCTCACCTTGGATTGTGAGACGTTACCCCCCACTCCAGTGTTATCGGTAGAAGATGCTGATTTAAGAACATTTCCCAAAAGTTCTGTTGTCGTTGCAGCTGCATCCTGAATCTCATCTGAGAACGGTTCCTCCACATCTGCGAGAGATGATGCTAGGAGCAAGCCTATGTAATTTGTTAATTTCCTCGTTGACTCCTAAAAGAGCGAGATGCAATAAATGTCACAACTTTTTATACTTATGTTGGAGAAGAGAATGCATCTTGCAATCTTACATCCAGCGTGCACTCTAAGTTTAGATATTAAGGTTTCATTGGAAATATTTACATAATGGTATACGGACCAGCCTTACATGGAAGGAGAGCCAAGAGAAAGCCAGCGGCCATATAAAATGATATTCAAAATTATAGAAATAGACTATATTACGACAAGATTTTTTTCTTCCTCAAAAACTTACCAAAACATCGAATCCATCACATTTAAGCTGACTGTCGTCCGTTGCTGCCTTTACAACTGACCCAAACAGGAGAGACATTTGTAGACTCTCAGGAGGTATTGCTGTAAACCTTGTTACAATAGCACACATTATCTGGAAAGAATATCATAACACTTGGTTGAAGCACTAAAGTAAACTGGGTCAGTACATCGAAGAATCAAGCAAAGCGGGAAACTTTTCTAGATCCCACAAGAATCGGAATACTGGTTTGGCTTCACACTAGAGCTTCAAGTATAATGTAAGTGTACTTGGAACCTGCTTTGAGTGTAATGGGGCAAACGTACCTACTCGCTTCAACTTGACTTGGTGGGCATGGAAACGTTCGTATGGTCTACACCACACTTGGTCAATAAGAAGTGGACGACATGTGCACGGTGTGTACGAGCAGCGGTTCCAAGATTCTAATGAACGGAGAGTTTGAAAGCTTTTTAACACTTCAAGAAATATACTTTGTCGAGAAGTGTGAAGTCATGTTTTCTACAGAGCGGCTTAAGACTTGAATCGAGTGTTTACCTGAAAAACTAGCTTGACTTCTAGTGTGAAGCCAACAACTACCTCTGGCTAGTAGACATTCCTTTTTTCATGACGCATGAAAAGGAACGCGAGAGTTTTTATGGGAACACTGACTATGGATAAGAAGTTTCCTGAAGCTTATAATTAACTACATTGATTCACTTTTCTCACCTGGTACTGAATATCAGTAGGAACGTTTTGTCCACACTCTGTTTTTTCTTTAGCTGAGGCCAGGACAGATAACGAAAGCTGCGCGGCCTGACTTATCTCGCCTTTTAGCAGAAATTCGTCAACTTCATTTTCAGGCCCGAGAAGTAAGTTTTCTAATTTGCTGGTGACTTGTTCCAATGAAGATTGGCAAGGATCAAGTTTTGAAGACGGAGTGACCTGAAAAAATCAGTCAAGACTTATATACATAAGTTCTAAGTTTCAAATCCATCACAGTTAAGACTGTAATCCAATTTCAATGCATCAAATTGAAATGCAAAGAGATAGACATTATATGTACAGTAGAAGTTACATGTAAGTGTTCACTATTATGAGTTTAAATATTTTTAGTATCGGAATCTGGCTCAAGTCAAGAATGCAGCATCAAAAAAGTGTTATATTTCACCTCATTGCTTATTCATATGTTTCTAATGCATGGTATTAATGTCGACAGTGAGGCTATTGATCGTTTAACCCTGTTAAAGTCGATTGTCGTCCTGATCAACATTGGCCGTTTTAGGCAGATGGAATATGCGACACTAGTGGTTTAAACTACATCAAACTCTATCAATACAGATATCTTAAACTATCACTTATCTCACCTTTATCTCAAACGAGTAAGCCACTTTCACCCCAACTGCATTTTTAATGACAACATTAATTGTTATCTTATAGTTGTTTTCAGGATCTCCTGCAGGCAATACTGTTTTCGGAGAAACTGGGGAAATACCGTAGGAAATTAGATCGTCACCATTTCGAAATTCATAAGTTAATGGTGTACTTCTGTCTGTCCAGTCAGCACACTCAAACATAAATTCTGTCTCCAATGACACGCCTTCTATGACTAACGATTTGCACAAACCACCGTGAGGCTCGCCAGCCGTTTCAAACTCAAGCAATCCATAACCCTCTACTTTCATTAGAGATGTCACACTTAGTTTCAGTCGGTACTGTGTATTAGAAAGAAGCATGTTTTGTTTAATTATAAAGTTTGAAGCGTTAATTGGCGTAGCTGTGATGTCAGCCACATTAGACAGAGTCTCCCAGCTTGCCGTGTCAAACCTTTCCAGAACCCATTCGTAGGTTGCGCCGACGCATGCAGAGTTGGGGCATTCTGATGTTACTCGAAATTTGTTGGAAGAAGATACAATCGCACCACAATCAACAAAGCACCTAAGGTAAATGATTAACGTAGAAAATTAGCAATCGAATTTTGTTGTAATTTGACCTAGTTAACTCTAGGGCGTTACTTCCTTGGACAGCTCAGATGACATATTTACTTATATTTTGTGTGGTGTTTAGGATTCAGGAGAGCTGCCTCAGATAATTTGTTGTTGGGACACTTGCAAAAATTAAATGGTCCGGGTTTGGAGGTTGTGAAAAAGTTATGAAATGTTATTTCTTCATAATAAATTAACCATATTAGTATAGGTAATAGCATGATTTGCAGTGACATTTGCCATAAATACCACGAGTGATATTTTGAAATTGTTATACTTTATTTCACCAGGCGTTAGGCGAGTGAAATTTAAGACAATTTTGAAATATCATGAGTAGTATTTGTGCCAAATATCACCAGAAATCATCCTATTATTTGTTTATACTACTACCCACACAAGATTTGTAATTTTCACTTGTAGGTATTTCAAATTAAGCTGAAATATCACTGCTGTAAGCCAATCAAATTGCAGAAATTTCTCATGTAATAGTACAAAGTATGAAACGGCCCACTTACCTAAGAATTACTCTGGGTAAATCTCCAGATGCTATCTCAAAAGTCATTTCAGCAGATGAGCTTCTAACATCTTTCCAAAGAGTTAACTGCAAAATGTAGCTATGTCCTACTTCCAGAACACTGGTGTCTATTGTGACGGAAGTTAAATTCAAATCTCCTCTCTGAGAAAAAGCACCAAAGCAGTCATAGCTCATTGATGCATTTTGCTCTTGAGTGCGGCATGACCAAGTGAAATTGAGCCCAGAGTGACTTCCAGGCCCAACATCTTCATCGTAACTCAGAGAACCATCAATTGTTACCATCTCGTTAGATCCCCATCGAACGGAACTTCCACCGTCCACAACAACGCGTAAAGGACCTGAAATTATCTCAATAAAGCCGTAGTCAAATGCCTGAATAGTTTGTGGAAAGGTCGGATCCCCGATTGTGATGGACGCATCGAACTTGACTTGGTATTTTCCCGCAGGTAAAGTCCTCCTCTCGATTGCCCACTCAGCGGTTCCTTCACTTACTAATTCGCCCTCTGCCGACTCCGCGGCTGCTAATTCTGCCTCACTTATCAGGCGCCACTCCAATACACTGTACAACACTTTAGCACGTGCTGGTAGACCTTTGATTACCGCTGTTTGGATACTTTTGGCAGATCGCTTGACTGCAGTAGGCTTATTGTTATCCTTAGATATATTCGCTATAGTTATTGAAAAGTCACCTATTGAATTAAAAGCATGTTAGAAAGAACGCGATTTGCCTACGGTATTCCTGATTTGAGCTAAATACATCATAGTATAGTCTATGATAGTCCGTATTCTAAGATACTATGAACTGACCAGTTTTTGTATTGCCGTGAAAAGAACAACAGGGTGGGCTAAAACAGTACTATGTTTCGATTTTTACAAAATGGGCCAGGCTTTAACTATAAAATAGTAAAAAAAAATTGCCTTTTACTTGACAAAATCATCAACATTTTGTAACTGTAGATTCTTAATGGGAATTATAATTCGCTACTATAAACTATTGAATTTAACGAAGTGGGCACCTTCTTTCAGTTAAAAGGTATTCGCAAAGATTAATATACTAAGTAACTCACCAAGCGGGCTACAAGTCAGTCCATCACCCGTGTAACCAGACCGACATTGGCATGTGAACGAGGCTTCATTGTTGTAACAGTGAGCCACTCCATGGCAGTTGTGGGTTCCCTCTGCACATTCATCTGTGTCTGTACAAATACATTTGCTGGTCTGAACTTGTCTTCTGGAAATTTTTGCCATGTTTCCCATTGATTTTAGATAATTTTAAGTAAGACTAAAACACTCCCTCCTTTACATATTTTCCAAGGCATTAGAGTAAACTAACAAAGTAAGGCAGTTCTGGACACTTAATGAGCTAATTAAGATGACACAGATTGCAAAAATTAATGAATTGAGCTTACTTTATCGAAAATCATTACTTTCAAACTCTTTTACAGTTCCACATTATACAGCAAAGTATTGGATCTTTTAAAGTTAGGGTGAAACGAACTATAGCAACGAGAATGGCACGTAAACTGACGCACGGTCAAATTTTAAATAAGGTACTATTACACACTGCTAGAATAGAAACAAACCAGCACACTGCTTTCCATCCCCTGTGTACCCCTGGATACAGTTACACGAAAATGAGCCTTGTATGTTGCTACACACTGCATTTAGGTGACAGTCATGGTTTTCGGCCGAGCATTCATCAATATCTGTAATTGCACACAGAAATCGAGAAAAATCCATATTAAAAAACAGTAGCTGAAACATGCCTGCCTCGACGACGATGAATGTACCGCTTATAGACAAGGTTGCAATATAGCTAGACCAAGGTCGGGGACCCGTACCATTCAGGGCGTCTGTTGGCTAAAAATGCCATTGACTCTATATACAACATAATAGTCGCCATGCCATTAAATTGTGAAGTGTAAGTAACAAAAAATGGGAAAAGATGAGAGAAGTCATAAAAGATAACATAACTGCCAAGTAGTCACAACCCGAAAAGCAATATTTTTCGCGTTGAAAAGGAGTGTACCGTTGTAAGCGCATAATCTTTACAAGAAATATATTTCCCGTCCGCAAAAAAGATCCGAAAAAATATGGAATCCGTTTGACTGATGGGCATGTAAAAGGTAAAGGTTTCAAGAGTATATGTACCACTGCAAGATATGCCATCCCCAGTGTATCCCGTGAGACATGAGCAAGAAAAGGAGCCCGCGTTGTTGGTACAATTCGCTGACAAGTGACAATTGTGAGAAATATCAAGGCATTCGTCAATGTCTGTTGAAAAAAAGGAAAGAAACATTATTCAAAACGAGATCAGAAACATAAAGTTTCTTTAAGGGATGCAAACTGTATCTGCACAAGAGCAGAAAGGAAAGCGGAAACTTGAAAGCATTGTGTAAGATTATGTAGAAGTAGCCTGGAATGTTTGTCGTACGAAATTCTAACCGATCTGGTATTTTTTTTATGCCGTTGATTGGGCGATGCAAAAAACATTGTTTAAGAGGTTATCTATGGGGTGACCAAATGACCTCTTGACCGTTTGGGTAGAGAAACTTAAGAAAAGGCAGGAGCCCATTTGATGGGCTCCTGGAAAAGTATAGCTATTTGAAAAAGCATCCTTCAAACGACGAATAGCCCGCAAATGATTGTGTCTTTTTGTAGGCAAGTACTCATCACTCGTGCAAAGTGTATGTGGTTCCTCGCGGGGGTGAAAAAGGCCGTGGTCATTTAAAGGAGACGAAGACTACAAGAAGTACAACAAACGACGGCTTTGCTTTGTAGAGGTCATTTTACGGTGGCACGTCCCAGACTCCAAAACACGTCCCAGGTATGGTTTCTGGGAAGTGTGGACGTGTTTTGAATTCTGGGACGTAGCTTGTATTCGGAGATGTGTTTTAGATTCTGTGTAGTGTTCTGGACTCTGGTAAGTGTTTTGTTCCACCTAAGAGCCATCATATAATTACGAGAAACGATTTCAGATAGCTGAGTAAGTAAGCGTTAAAAGATGGGGGACCACTCACTACAGGTTCTCTTGATATAACAGATTCTGCAATGTAACTCACCGGTGCAAGGGATTCCGGTATAACCCACCAGGCAGCCACACGTTGGCGAGCCAGGACTAGCAACACACGCATCGTTCTCGCCTGGTCATGGGGAAAAATAAACACGAAATTCAATTACAAAAGCACTGTAAGAAACGAAAAAAACGTTTACTTACTGAAGTTCACTTAAGTCATTTTAAGCCTTTAAAAATTACTTGGTTTTTTGGCGCCAGGTCAGTAATTTCATTCCTACTAAAGTTTCTTTCGGGTGACAGTGATATTATAGAATTGTAGCTGGTGTTCGAACTTTATTAGATGAATTTTTTTGTTTTACCATACTCCTCTCAATAAAAACCAACTACTGCTCGGCTACTTCCTAGAGTACTTCCTAATAGATTTGACTACCAGAACCCTGTTTCCGAGGCTAAAGACCTTAATTAGTGTCACTCAAGAAAAGCGAACAAGCTAGGGTGATTGATCCGTTTAGCCAAATGAAACCAGAAAACGATACGATACTGGACGATGTAGACTCTGCGAATAGTATTAATTTTGTCCATCTGAGAGCTTTGCATGATGCTCTCCGGGAAACTTTTCTCAAGGTGACCTATAACGAAATATAAACTGCTAAACGGCGCCAAAACTAGCTTTAGGCGCGCACTGGCTTCAATAACTGTCACTTGTGTTAAACAGAGAATTCTGGGAAGGGACGGAAACACACCCTCGAGGGAGGGAGGGAGGGGGGGGGGGGGGTGGCTAGAAAGTAAGCGAATTTCCCAAAATTCTGTGTACAGCCAAATCTTCACAAATCCCTAACCACGAAACTACCAAAATAAAGATGCGACATAAGCAAACATCACAGTAAACAAGCTAAGACATGGGGAGTTGAGAGAAATTACCAAATGTTTACTAACCCGGTTTTCATAAATCCAGGTAGAAATATATTGACTGAAAAAGTTTTCGCCCGAAGAGATAACGCGAATTAAGATGTAACTGACTTTGTGAAATTTTAAACTATTTTGTTCTAGAATAAGAGTAAGTCTCACCGTTCACACCACAGTAGCGTTGGGCGCATCCATTCGGTTGTTGCAACTTATAAACGTAAAACCCGCTACAGTTTCTTATCTCAGTTGGATAGGAAAGGCTACAGCAACTTTCACCCGAATGAATACAGACATCTCTGAACGCTCTCTCATACTTGACATGGGGATGAGCTCCATTAACCCAACCAGAGTTATTGGTATTACAGCTTTGTTGTGGGATACAGTAGGAAGCCATCCTAACACCAGCAGCCCCGTCGAAGCGGTACCACTGATTACTAACAATGTTGCCTGGATCTCGATCACAGTAAGGGCCTCCATCCTCGTTATTCCAGTATCTATTAGCCTCATTGAGTATGGTGTATCCTTGTGAGAGACATTCAGGTGGTGGTTCTGTACTAGGAGCTGTTAAAAGTAGCCAAATTACAACTATGATACTATGATCTTGTTTCCGGATGATGTATGTAATGTGTGTAACAAAAAAATCGTACTTAAACTGCAGGTGTTAATATCAATTTAAACAGGGACATGATTATCCTAGTTATACACGCAATTCAAGCCCATGTTAAAAGAAATCATCAATGAGATTCGAGCCCATGTTTTCCTAACCCACAATGGCCCTGCTTCCAATGTCAGGGGCTTCATTTATTTTTGTGGTCATCGATTGTTTTTATTGTTGTTCACCTCCAAGACCTCCAAGATCTTGTTATATGACTTACCTAATCTTGGACCTTATGTTTTAGTATTATCGTAAATCCTCTATTAAGCCCTCCCTCTCTCAAATAAGCCTCCCTTCTCTCTTAAGCCGCCCCTCAAATGTGTTTAAAATAAATAACAAACCTAAAACAATACCGTACACGTTCTTTTAAAGATGATGTACGCTATTTTTTAGTATTTGCCTACCCTGAGGGGGCAGTCCAATATAATAGAGAAGTGGATGCTCTTTGTCTTACTCGGGGGTATAAATTGCAGATTTTGGTCGCAATTAGTCTGTTTACGGCAGAAACCCTGTTATTATTATTATTTTTAAACAAATGAAGCCACCTTTTGAGGCTGTGTAATGAAATATACACAAAAAAACGCCGCCGTATTTTCGCACAATTGAAATAACAACTACTCTTAATTTGTTATAGGAATTTCTTGCATGTTGTAACTTAAAGTCTCTTTTGGGGCTCAAATAAAGCCTGAGATACACCTAAATTAGTATCTATATGGGTTTGACAGAATCCTTTTACCTCGACGTAATTACCAGCCTCTGGTGGGGAAATGAGACAGCGCTACGAAATTCAGATACTTCCATAAAAAACAGGTATTTTTAGCCTGTCCGCCTCGAATGGCATGCAAACAAAGATTGCTGGTGATTCAGCTGTGCTGAATTTTGTGCTTACGACTTAACTGCTGCACTCACCCACATTTGTACCACAGTATCTTCGTGAACAGCCCGTTGTAGGTTTTAACTCGTACACATAAAATCCTCCACAGTTAAGGACTTTTATGGTACTGCTCCAGTAGCAACATGAGCCGCTATAATGATAGCATACAGTTCTGGTAACTTCGCCCTCTGCAACTGTCGGGTGTATTCCGTTTAACCATCCAGGAGCATGTGTTGTACATTGGAATTCCGCTGGGCAACTTTCTGGCATAGAAGTACCAGCCGAACCGGTGAAGCGGTACCATTGAGTTACGATGCCGGAGTCGCATAATGCAATGGAAATACTATACGAAGAGACATGCCTATCTGCCGTGCTAAGTTGTGCGTATCCGGTACACGCTGGATTTTCTGCAATTGAGTTGCAAGTGACGATAAGCCAAAAAAAATTGACAGGGCTACAGTTGTCACATGCGGCCTGGGCCGGGCTTTTGAGTGGAGTAGTAACATTTATTAAAATTTCTGCACTCTTCACCTTTAATAAATTAGAGGACATAAAGATTCGACGACGGCGACAGCAACGAGAACGTCGAAAAGGCAATATGTTTTAACAGATTAGCACAACAACAACGTTTTCGCCGAAAACGCCGTCTCAAGTTTCCTTTTCGTAAACAGTCGCTGTCTGCTAAAAGACACTTCAATTTTTTTGGACCTGTTCTTGAGAGGTTTCTATGAAAACAAAAGAAGATCGCAACCCTGGGTCTAACCCGGACCATAACCTAATCTCTCGTTCTTACCACTACACTACCACACCGACCCGCCAAAATTTCGAACGGTTTTAAGTACGTTTTTTTAAACTGATACTTCTATAATGGGTGACCCTCTAGCCCTTTCCCTAACTTTCAGCCTAAATTCAAACTTGGGCTACAACGTTTGTTCTTTCTAAGGCTGTCCAAAAAATATTATTTGCCTTATTGTAATTTAACCCAGTGGAATATACAGTGGAAACCCGTTAATACGTTTACCATTGAAAAAAAACTGGCTTCGTTAACGGGTAACCGTATTTACCGTAATAACGAGGTGGTCGTAAGGCAGAGTTTCAGTGTATTACATCTATATCTACCATGACTAAAGACTTGGTTATCAATGGTGGCATCGACCGTTAAAAATGGCAACAACCGTTTACGACAGGGAAATAGGCGTTGCCATCCTTGGATCTTAAGGACGTGCAATGAATGAATAGATTTGGTGGTATGGCTTTTCGTGTACTACAGTATTGTTGGTTTTGAAGGCATAATGATATATTTTTGCGACGTATGTGGCAGCTGTGAAATCAATGTCCCTCGACAATTACATTTTTATTCAGGCCTTTCTTTACCCATTTATGAGCATTGATCACTGAAGTTTACTTACTAGACAATAGTTTTATAAGGAAGACAAAGTTAGATTTACAAGACAGGCAATCCAGACAGTTTTTCTTCCTAGTGGGTTAAGAGAGTTTTTGAGAGAAAGGAGACAGCTTACCGTTGCTACAGGTTTTGCCGTCGCCTGTGTAACCAGGGTTACAGGAACAAGTAAAAGAACCTGCGGTATTCGTGCAAGAAGCTGACGCATGGCAATCATGGGTACCTGCTGTGCATTCGTCTACGTCTGTCAAAAAGAATAATTAAAAGCTTATAACGTCGGGTGAGACGCCTTACCTACTCTTATACTCCTGCTCCTGACAATTCATTCATTCATTCAAGAAGCGAAGTACTAATTAGAAGTTGAATTTAACAATTTGTAGGCGATCACGTAATTGCTCACAAGTGTTTTGCAAGTGAAGGTTTCTGATATTTGATGATGTTTACGAGCTACAAGTGTACGAGTGTGAATCGTCAGAATCGCTTGTAACTTCCTTTCTGGACCTCTGTGGATAGTCATACAAAAGAGATGTGAAGCTTTGAGTCTTTTAACGGACATTAAAAAGTCCACTTCTTAAGTAAGTAGTTTTACTGATTATTTGATGATTTTGTAAACAGTTTTGCTGTGTTTAGTTTTTATTGGAAATTAATTTTGTCATCATCGTCATCATCGTCATCATCGTCATCATCAGTATCAATATTATCATTATCATCATTATCATCTTTATATATATATTATTATTGTCCTCGTTGATGGATAAGTTGAGCCTATCGAAGTTATAACGTGTGTAAATCCGGTCAGGGAAGCCTGAATAATTATAGTCCAATAGAATTTTGGGCAAAAAGAATGAATCTGGTGCCTGTGATAAGTGAAGGAAGAGAATTTGACAAACACAAAGAGTATCTAGAGGCAGAAATAGCGCCATTGCAGTATAAATATCTCCAAAACCAATAACGTTGCGCGGGGCAGTTGGACTCAACCAGCGAAAAAAGTCTGATGTTTTAACTTGGAGTACTTCGGGAGTTCTGTTGATTCACTTGGCAGTTGTACAGAATTCAGTTTATTCAAACAGAATTAGCTGCAATAGACGATAATGACGGAACAGGGAAATTTCAGTTTAAGAATTGACGAACTAATACGATATGATTCATTATCCTGAATGAATTTTCAGAACGAAAGAATGTAGAAGAAGGGTCTCTTAATCAGTTTCCCTAAAGTATCAACGTCAAATCACATGTGTGAGCCTATTAACGTGCTTTATCAAATAAAATGATGATGATGATGATGGCCGTATCCCGTTCATGATACAGATACAGTAGGACCTTACGAATCTAAGTGTAGGTATATTTGTATTAACCTACCGGAACATGGATTTCCTGAATAACCCGGATTACAAGCACAGACCTCTGGTCCTGCGGTTCCTAACCACGCATCACTCGCATCTGCGTCACAAAGGAAAAAAACGATGAGAAAATATGGAAGAAGCAATTTTGGGGCCTGCCCAAAGTGACGAAAACAAATGTACGTGGGCATTGTTTAAAGGAGCACGAAATAAGTAGGTTGGAGTGCCATCCCATGAAAAGGGAAACTCTTTTTGTTGATTGCACAGAGGATAAATCTTCTTGCACGTCATTAAAACAAATACAGTTATAAAAGTATTTTTTTTCGAACATTCACCTAAAACACCACAGTAACGCTCATAACATGCTGTGGGCTTTTGCAGTTTATACACGTAGTAGCCATCACATTGTGTTATGCTAACGGGGTAGGATCTTTCGAACCCCAGTGCATACATACAGTTGTTGTCACCGTGGCGTAGAGACTAGTCGGATGATCACCATTTATCCATCGCAAAACAATTAAAGAAAAACACTGGAAGAGGCAAATGCAGGTCTCAGAGCAGTGTGACGCAAGTTGGGTGCCCTTTTTATTGCAGTTTGCTGTCTTCTGTCAGCCGTCATTTCTTTGAAAGGACATTTATAGACTGATTCATCAGGCTGGTCAAGCTAGACGATGATTGTAGCTTTGCACAAAATTTATATGTACGTAAAGTGTAATTACCCCATGCATAGAAGTATTCCATTTAAATGGACATAATTAAAATAAAGCAAGGGCGCCAAGGAGGATGGGAAGAGAGTTCAAGGAGATCCCCTGACATACGTCTCTTTTCCATTCCCTTCGTTCTTTGGCGCTTTCTCCCCTCCCCCTGCTATCACAGCCACGCTGCTGAGAAGAGAGTCAGGTCTGAAATTTTCAGGTTGCTAGAAGCAAAATGCTGGTTCCATTCGAAAGGATTTGATGACCTCTAAGATTTCATTAACTGCTTTATTCTAGTGCCTTCTATTCATAAAAATTATGGTTTTGAATTATTGGATTGTTGTTACGCTTGTATCTTTTTTTCGTTTAAATTATGTTAACTGATTCCCAGGACTAAAATGCCACCATCAACTGAAGGGGCATTCGCAGTTCTTTTAGCATCACATCTGAGACTGAAACCAACAAATAAGTTTTTCTTTCTTCAAGATATACTTAACGCATTTGCAGCTGATAATTACCTAAAGGAACCCTTCTCTTATAATCTGTACTCCGATCTTCTCGAAACTTTTTTTTATACATAAATATTTTAATTTATATAACTTTATTGATTTGGTGTCAACTACTGATTGCACTTCAGACCCCATTTGTTAAGGGAAAAGACACATTCTCGGTAGGTTTTCCCTATTCCCTATTGTTGAAACGGCAACTGACAATAACAAAAAGGAAAACTGATTGCTGCACTGGATAGAAGTCCAGCGTAATGCAAGCATCAGTTCCTGTTTATTTATACAGATACAAACACTTAGATACTGCAAAGGCAAACTCTATAGTAAAGTTCTTTTATTGATAACCTAATAAAAGTATGATCATGCTCTCTGCCCGTCAGGAAAATCCCCCTTATCTAAGGAGGAAACCTGAACCCTCCCTAAAGTAGAGCCATACACTTAACTAAAATACCAAACTACAAGTACCTGAATGACGAGCTACAATCAATTTAAAGTACACAAAAAGGAAAAGGGGTAAAAAACGAACTAATGAAGCAGCGATGTCACCTTAATTTCAGAGGATGATTCACCTAATAAAATCCGGCCTTTTTATACCCAAGTCTCCGTCACAGCTGCCAATGGGGACCTTACGATCCCACAACGGCGACGTCTATAAAAATCTCGCTGAAAATAGACTCCGCATCCTTTCAAACCATTTCGCGATTATCCTGAGTCGCCCAGTTACTTAAGGGAAGGGAATTTATGTTGGAGCTGAAGAGAGTGGGCCGCACTCGAGTTCAGACAGAGATGGTAGAATTTATCGCCTTGTCATTCTCGTCCTCAGTTTGGTCATTTCAAGTCGTAGTCGTGCAGGAACAGCAAAGAAATGTAAAAAAAAGCGTGATGCTCGTTCAGAGTTGTTGATTTGCTAACTAAACCTATTGCTTTTTGACGTTGCCTTTGCCATTGCCGTCGTAGTTTCGTAAGGTCCCTACTAAGTTGAAACCGTGAAACAATAAATTGTTGTTATTCTTAACACCACAGCAAATAACAAACTTGTTGGGTCCGTGGCTTTCCCAGCCCCTTCATCTTCAATGTTAGTTTGGAAGAGGATTATTTTGCCGGCCCAGCGAGCCCGTAAAACCGTCATTAGGAGAAGGGGAGGGAAACAATACGTTTACTCAATGTAAAATAGGATTTTCAACGCCAACTTACCCACTGTTTGTTTTACATGCGTATTTAAGAATACCTCAAGAGCTATCCAAAGCGTTTGCAAAACCTGAAGTCAAATATAAAGTCAGTTTTGAAAGGCAGAAACATTATTGAAGAAAAAAGAAAAGAAAAGGTATTTTAATTTAAATCCCGTTAATTTCAGGTTTTAGAGGAGTAAGAAACTGATTTATCAAGGGAATTAAAAGATATCCTAAACGAACTTACCCAATCAAGTGATGTCCTCATGGCCTTCAAACATGTAATACAATCCGGCCACAATTTCAAATCTGGAGCAAACTTT